AAAGAAAAGGATCTCTTCATATCATTCTATACCACCCCATAGTACATACACATGTATTAAAAAATCTGTTTTAACTAAAAATGCAAGTCTCCTTAGCAAACCCCAATCTCATCTCCTTAGTATCATACAGCACCCTCAAATTCCTCTGCTGATAATTCCCAATTATCCCAACCTCACTCTCATACGCCAGGCTGGCAATCGCCAAACACACCTGAGACCTATCTCCCTTCACAAAATAGAACATTCCAGAAACATCCACACCCATCCACCCACCCCCTTCAAACCACATCTCCAGACTCGGAACACTCACCTCCTCGAACCCCGACAGATCAAAACACGTGTCCAAAATCGAAAACCCGGGCGCCCTAGGATATCCCGAGAACTGCCTCACGAACTCGTCCCTAACCCCCGCGTAAATTGACGGTTTTACCCTCGTGACCACCGTCCCCGAGTCCACAATCACCTCATCTCCCAATCCTATCCAAACTCCCCCAATCCTAATTCCTGTTAGGTTTAACGCGTAAAAGCTGCCAAACCTCGGATTATTCTGGACGAGCCCGGCGTAGGAAATCGGAGTCGTGTTTTTGTAAAACGGCGTGCCATTCCCTAAAATCAAGGAGCCCGAGTTTAAGGAATCGGGTAAGCAATACGAAAAGATTCCGCCAAATTCACCGTATGTTTGGGAGACGAGCGACAATTCACTCCTCCCGAGCCCGATTAATCCCGACGCCGAGCCAAACAGGCCTTTATTCTCGCGCCCGCACCCGAATACGAACCCCGGGAATTTATCACTCCCGAGGACTAAATCGTCCTTGGCGAGGTCTCCGCGCGTGTACGACCCGTCTCCGTAGGTGACCGCGTAATTGCAGGTTGGTCCTCCGTTTTTGGGGCAGATTCCAGAGCTGCCAGTGGCGGAAAGTAGGGAATTGCAGGATTGCGAACTGCAGGGGACGGGTTCGTATGTGGGGGAATTTGAGGGGTCGTAAAGGGGTTCCGGCTGAGAGTGGCAGAGGCGGCACGGGTGGCACTGGAGCCAGGTGAGGTCGGAACCCGTGTCGAGTATGACGGTGGAGGAGCGGCCGCCGAGTGTGATGGTGACGATGTAGTTTAGGGTTTGGAGGTTGAGGCCCGGGATTATGGGGATTTGGGCCGGGACTGGGAGTGTGTTTTGTATTCGGGATTGGATGGATTGGACTCGGGTGTCGTCTGATGTTAGGAGTTCTTGGTGGTTTTGGGCTGGGCCGGGTTTTGGGCCGGTGCAGGAGTCTCTGTGTTTTATTTCTAGTATGGTTGCGCCATTTTGTGTTCCTGTGTAATTGAGCATGGTAGCTTTAATTTCAGTGTTTCATTTTTCTGAGTATGGTTGCATTATTTT